ACACACACACACACACACACACACACACACACACACACACACACACACACACAGAGGACCAGGCAGTCTTTCCTCAAGTATTTCTAAACCAGTTTAGTCAGCCTACCTTCTGTCTTTATGTCCTCAACTTTGGGGAATTTAGGACACGTAGCCTCAAGTACCACATTGCTTCCTGTTTCTATCATTTGTTCTCAGCTATCCCCATAGCCTGCAACGCCCCCACAAGGATCCTAATATTCTTATTTCCTTCCTTTATCCCTGATTTTGGAATAAAGGAGGATTGCAGGCGCTGTTTTAAAGTTCAGTGCACAGGACTTCTCTTAAGACAATTTTCCACTCCCAGTTCCAGTTTTCATCCATTGTAAATAGAAGCTCTCTAGACCCTGTGACATGAGGATGTAGGTTTGAGTCTCTCATTACATTTAACAGTCTTACTCCATGTCTGCTTACGGCCACAAGGTAGCTACTAGAAATCAGGACATTCAGAGAGGGTAAGCCTGTCTCTTCACGAAATATACCAGATGCTCCGTTTCTTCTGGCCCTTTTCAGTCATATGCCAGACACTTCTGGATCCCTCCCTAGGCAATCTATTTAATATCAATATCCCTGCCTGCCCTCCCAGGCCTGAGAACAATGGAACAGCCATAGGAGTAGATGCCATCTGCACCTACCAGCCCAACACCTCTAATGAAGGGCTGGACAGAAAGCGTCTGTACTGGGAGCTGAGAAGACTAAACAAAGGCATCATGAAGCTAGGGCCCTACACCTTGGACAAGAACAGTCTCTATGTCAATGGTGAGCTATATTTCAGAGTCATGGTCCTCTCCTCCCACACCACTTCTTCTCAGCCCCACCCCATTTCCACTCTTTTGTTGTTATCTATGTAGGTTATACGCAGCAGACTCTGGCCACCACCCACAGGAGTGAGTATCCTGAGGCTCCAGTATCCATTAGTAAGCCCTTGAACCAGAATCTCTATTCCATGCCTGCAATTCACATTCATTTAGGGAAGAACAGGGAAGGGGTCGCTTCCTTGTATCTCCCGATGCAAGGGATTCCCAGTCAAAACACTTAAATTGTTTTTGCTTTTCAGCATTAGTGATGGCTACTGTTTCTGAAGGAATGCCAAACACTTCCTCTGCACCCACAGGTATGAATTCCCCTCTGTTTAGATTCTCCCAGTCATTTAAAAGGTCAGCAGAGGGCAGGTGAAAAATCCCAGAGGGCCCCAAATGGCTCTTCCCAGGTCGCCGAGGAACCTTTAATTGCCAGACACTTCCCTAGCACCCTTTATCCTAAAGCATCACTTAGAACCTACTTCTGAATTCTATTGGCCCTTAAGTTCTAAATCATCCAGCATCCCTGACAATGGTATATTTCATCAAGGCTGTTCACCGAGGGGATTTATTTATCTATAATAGCTGCTGTATGAGGAACCAGCACATTAAGCAATAAATATCTAGTTTATCTAGTAATCAATGAGTTTGTTTTAATAATTACTTTTGGCACTGAAGATATAGCTTAGTTGACAAATACTTGTCTGGCATTCAGAAAGTTCTGAGCTCCAGCCAGCCTCACACAAATTGAGCAGCGAAGTTCTTGCTTGTAATTTGGGAAGTGGAGGCAAAGGACCAGGAGTTGAAGGTCACTGCTGGTCACATAGAGAATTTGAGGTTAACCTGGGCTGCACAAGAAGCTAGAAAAAAAAAAGAAAAGAAAAGCAGGAAAGAAAAAAATCTTGTTAAATAGATTAAATAGATAAGAGGTTATTCTTGCTAAATTACTAGTATGCCTCCAATGTAAATGTGTATCAACTTGGTGGTTTTTATTTCAGAGTTCCAGCGCCCACACTGTAGCTTACAACCACCTCTAAGTCCAGTTCTAGAGTATCTGATGACCCCTTCTGTTCTCTGAGGGTACTGCATGCATCAAAAACACCAGACACATAAAACTAAAGAGTCATCCAGACAGGCAGCCACAATTGACCTTTGGCCTCCATGTGCACCTGCACACACGTGAATAGCCCCCCCCCACAGGGGAGGTTCAGGGGGCAAAGGCGCTTACTGCCGAGCCTGATGACTCTAGCTTGATCCCTGGAACTAACATGGTGGAAGAAAGAGAAATCAATTCCGTCAAGTTGTGCTCTTTCATGGTTTTTAAGATAGGTTCTCACACTGCATCTAAAGCTCTCCAATTCAATTAGGTTGGCTAACCAGTGGGCTCCAGGTATCCACCTGTCTCTGCCCCTTCAGAGCTGTGGTTACAGACTCACACAACAGTGCTTGACATTTTTTTTTCTTTTAACATAGGTATTAGAAATCTGAACTTGAATTTTCATGATTTTATAGCAGTCACATTGCCAATTGATCTATCTTCCTGATCTCTCATTTATACATTTTTTCTTAGTTTTCTCAGAGATTGAAACTGGTTGAGAATTGATTTATGTAATAATTCGGTTTAGAACAGCTACTTAATTTCCATAACTAACCAACTGACTGGCAAGTTGTGTTAAGATGTCTACCAAAAAAAAAAAAAAGAATGGGTGTAGAAAAGGTACTCCATATGCACATTTGAACACTTCAGCAATAAAGAACAAATTATTTCAATTATAGGAACATGGATGTAACCAATACATTGCTAATTAAGTTAGTCTCAAAAAAAACCCCAAATATCACGTGTTTTCTCTTATTTGTGGTTCTTAGATTACATATACATTTATATATAGTTGCACACAAGTAGATGACAAGAAACTTGAATGTTTCTGTCTTAGGGAACTGATGGAATAGGAGAGGGAGGAGCAGAAAAGGGGAAGGAAGTTGCCTGTGCTTGGAAACGGTCACTGATAAGCACATTGTAGGCTTGCATGAAAGTGGTCTTATATAAGTCACCATAGTAAAATAAAAAAATAAAAGAGAAAAATGGCTTACATTATAAAACTCAGAAGCGATGATTGTAGGCGTGATAGCTCCCGGGAGGGACAGATAAACTTCCATTCAGCTTCATGGTGAAGTTACCTCTCGACTACAGTCCGATTTCTCCTTGGTAATTAAGTTGAAGCTGTTGTAATGTCTCTTCCCCCCAAAACAAATGTGATTCCTACAGGAAGTATTTCTACAGCGCTTGAATATGCACATAGCTGTTGCTCCACGCTGAAGTCTAGAGGACAATAAGAAGTTGAGCCCATGTCTTTCTCGAATCCCCTCTGCAGCTGCAGGCCCTGTCCTGGTGCCTTTCAGCATCAACTTCACCATCATTAACCTGGAGTTTGAGGAGGAAATGGGTCACCCTGGATCCAGGAAGTTCAATATCTTGGATCGAACCCTACAGAGCCTGGTGAGAGTCCCGCTTTCTGCATCTAGCCCCACCTACTGGCCCTGCCCTGCATTGCTCCTGGAAGAAGCTACTGCTCACCTCATCCTGACTATACATACGCAAATCCAACTCACCATGCCTGCTTTGCTCAGTTCTCTTCTGTCCTGACTTTATCCCTCACTGCTCCTCCTTACCTTTCTCCTTTCTCCACAGTTCAGGCCCTTGTTCAGTAAAATCAGCGCTGGTCCATTGTATTCTGGCTGCAGGCTGACCTTGCTCAGGTGAGTCTTTAGCAGGCTAGAGTTGCTTAAAGTCCTCTCAGTCCAAGGATTGTGTTCAGATTCCTCGCCGCACTTCTGAATGTCTTATGCACAGGTGAATTGGGGAGGTCCCATATCTAGCACCAAAATGTCTCCTGATTCTACCGTTTGTCCCACAATTCATCAACAGATTGGAACACCTTCTGCTCTTCCATTTTGAATTTCCTCCTTCTTCCCCTTCCTTAGGAATAAATGAACATTTCCTATGAACTTTGAAGTTGGCCCACACAATTTCTCTTAAGACAAATATGCCCTTTTCTGCTCCCTAATGTTGACCTTTGATGCCCCAAACATTATTCTTCAAACGTCTCATTTGGGACCTCTCCTTTTCCAATAACATACACTTGCTTATTTGATTCTTGCAATTGATAATAATTCTGAACTCACTGTCTGCTCAAAGTCACATATTACTGGCAGTCAATATGATATAAAATCTACAACTGACTTTGTAAGTCTCTATCAGATATTTCTCCTCCTCTGAACCCTTTATGTGCTGCGCCAGGCATCCCTGGATCCCTCCTTAAGCAATCAGTTTACCACCATTCTCCTCATCTACCCTTCCCAGGCCTGAGAAAAATGGAAATGCTACAGGGGTGGATGCCACCTGTACCCACCACCTAGACCCTGCTGGCCACAGGCTGGAAAATGAGCAAATATATGGGGAGCTGAGCAGTCTGACCCAGGGTGTCACCCAGCTGGGCCCCTACATCCTGGACAAGAACAGTCTCTATGTCAATGGTGAGCAACAGCCATCTGTGCTTAGCTGTATTGTGGAGCCCATACCCTCCTTTCCCAAGTCTTCTTTCCCTCAATTCTATTAGAGTTTAAATCTCCTGTTGTCCATGTAGGTTACACACACCAGATCCTGGCTACCACCCCCAGAAGTGAGTATTCTGAATTTCCTTAATTGTCTACCACACCTATGACTATACCCAGCCCTTTGAAATGAAAGAAAACAATAGCCTATTGTCTCCATTTCACTCTTCACCTAACCTGCAGCCTGAGGTGTACAGCACTTTAAACCCTAGCAGAACCCAGACTGGGACACCCTTGTGTCATCCACAGATAATGTCTCCAAATGGGTATCTTTTCCCCCCACAGTGTCTATGGTGAACATTGTTTCTTCAAGTATGCCAGCTCCCATCTCCAATCTCACAGGTAAAATTCTCTCTGAAAATGCTTCTGGTGACTTCTGTAATCGCAGGAGGCAAGATGATGGGTGGAGTAGCATGTTAAAGGTGATCATAAGATCGGCCCTTGATGGATGAGAGGGTCCTCAAAGGTCCGAGAATTCTCAGATAATTTTCAGGTGTTTCCCACCCCAGAATCAAGCTTCCAAAGCCATTCTCTGGTTCCCATTTCCTAATGTAGGTGTCCATTAATTTCTAAATCTTTCTCTGACTCTTGGAAGAATTTTAACCAGCAGACCAGTTAGCCAAGAAGAAATTTGTGCAGGAAGCAATGTATAAAAACAGTAACTCAGGATTTTATCAGCCTGCTAGTTTAACCCACTTGACCAAATGACCAAGAACTAACTCTCTCTCTCTCTCTCTCTCTCTCTCTCTCTCTCTCTCTCTCTCTGTCTCCCTCTTTTCCTCCCTCCCTTTCTCCCTTTCTCCCTCTCTCCCTCTCTCCCTCCCCACTCTCTATGTTTGTATGTTTACATGCTTGTGTTCCTTATACTTGTGGAAGCCAGAGTTGAGTCTGCTGTTTATCTTCAGGAGTCATCTTGGGAATATAGCGCTGAGGGGTGGTTCAATAAGTAAATGTTTCTTACTTAAGCATGATGATCATAGTGTGGGTTCCCAGAACCCACATTAAATCTGGGTGAGCATAGCAGCCTGCCTGTCTCAGAAAAAAAATCTGGATAACCAGATGAGCAGAAAAATCGAGCTCTGGGTTCTCTCTGAGAGATCTTGCCTCAATATATAAGATAGACTGATTGGAGAAGACACCTGACATCAACCTTGGCTCTCACGCATGTGTACACACATGCCCCACATGTATGCAAACACGTATGCACACCACACACCCATACATATGCCAAAACAGATAAATTCTATGGCTCTAAAGGCATTTTCTTACCAGAGCGCTCTGACACAAGGTCTTACTCTGAACTGACAATTGATCCTGCTTGGAGGAATTAACCCTGTACCTAAGTCATCCATGGCTTTCCCCTCTAATACACATGGTCCAGTGAGCAAACATGGCAACGCTGCATGGATAAAACTATGTACAGCTGCCATATTGTAGCATGAAGGGGATCAACAGTAAAAGAAGGTAATTAATCCAAAACAGTGATAGAGGCATCTGTGATCTACCAGTAGCTACACAACTGAAGAGCTTGTCTTTCCCACCGCCCCCAGAAACTATTACCTGCAATAGTTCCTCAGAACCAGATGGGATATGGAGCCCTTCCTCCATTCATGTTAGAACTTCGCTAGGCCCACTCTTGGATAGGTAAAAGCAGCTGTGAGTTAAGTGTGGCAGCCATGTGGTGTCCTGAAGACAATATCCTACAGGACTCTTCACCATCCTGCTCTTAACTTCCCTCTTCCTGCGCTTCTGTGATACTACCTGGGCTTTTCAGGGGGTGATATAGATGTTCTGTTCATATCTAATCACTGAACACTTATTCTCAGCACTTTGACTAATTAAGAGTCCCTGTAGTAACTGCTATCTGTTGCAAAATATGCTATCTTACCAAGGCTGAAAACACATTGATACTGATATTTTAATTGCCAGCAGTGTTTAATTACCATTATGTGAATCATTCAAATAAGTTGTTATTTTAAATTCTGGTAGAGACATCTTGAACTGTTGCCCTAGGTATGAATACATGGATCGCAGTGATATGAATATAGACTATGTCCTAAATCCTAGATCTAGTCCCAATGTGACTCGGGACTTAACTTCTCTCCTAATCTAACTGCAGCCTCAAGCTCTCCTCCACTGCTGTGCACTCTTAACTTCACTATCACCAACCTACCATACACGGAGGATATGTGGGGCCCAGGGTATGCCAAGTTCAACAAAGTGGAGAAAGTCCTGCAGCTTCTGGTGAGACTCCTTCTCCTTCCCTCGCCTCACCCACTCCATCGCCCTTGGTCTTGCTCCCCCACTCCAGCCTTACCTGCCCCCTTCTTGCCTCACTCTCCCATTAAAGCCTCCTCCAGGCTTTAAACTCTTTTTCTTGTTTTACTCATCATCCACCACATGCATCCCTTGTGTTATATTCATGATGCTCTGCCTACCTTTAGTCTCACCTACGTAAGGCTCACCTGCTCTCTCCAGTCACACCCTCTTCCTTCGTATAGCACACTGGTACCCCATCCACCCACTCCACTCCTGCCTTCTTGCCCCACTCGCTGGTCTCTCTTTTACCTCTTCAAGTGTAGCCCTCCTGTATCTAGCTCTAGGCAGTGGTGATTGGCCCACCTGCTCCATTCGTACCCATGCCCCTCTGTTACTTCACCAACTAATGCCCATAATCATTGATTTTCTCCTAACCTTTCCCAGCCCTATTCACTTCTTCTTGCCCAGCAAACAGATTACCCTCACCCACTATCCACTTGCCCAGCCATTTCACTACAGCCCTGTCCAACTATCTCTCTTACGCTATCATTGTTTCCACCCATGACCCTCCATGGTTACCTGACCACCCTTTTCAGCCCAGCCTACTTCTCTTGCCTTTCCTTCTGGTGATCTGCCTAACTCCATTACCTTATCTACTGTTAACCCATCTACTCAATCCTACTTAGAACACCAACTTCTGCTTTCCCTACCACCACTAAGGTCCCACCCACAACCCCCTCTTGCCCCACCTGTTGATGTTAACTCATTCTGGTGCCTACCCACTCATTCCAAGTCTTCTTATACCTCCATAACAACATCTACTTATTGCTTGTCCATGAATTCAAGACTTGCTCACCTGCCTTCCCCCCCTCTTCACTACAGCCCCACTAAAACTAAACCTTGCTATACTTACTCGTACCTACCACATAGGTCTTGCTACCCTTTGCCCCACCCACTCTTTTCAGCCTTAACAACCTCTTGTTTTGCCAACTGATAACCTACCTAGTCTATCCCTATCTCCCTCCCATGCCCTTATCATTGGTGGCATTCTCACATACCTTGCACTAGCCACAGTTGTTCTGTTCACCTGCTCCAGCCACACTAATGTCTTAATTCCCAATCCATTCACTAACCCCCACCCCGTCTCACACTGCATACTTCCCCCTTTTGTCCTTCATTCTGGTATTTGCCCACATCAGTACTGGGCCCACCCATCCCAACCCTTCCTGCTTTTTTCTTGCTACACCCACTAGTTTCTCTTCCATCTTTCTTATCCCCACTCATCCCTCTCTTGCCACAGCCACTGAGGGCCTACCAACTCACTCTAGTTCTGTCTACTTTCACCTGCCCAACAGTCCCACTAAAACTTGACCACTTGCCTTTATTACCTTGCCACTGGTCCACACCCACAGCCTTTATTCCACACTCAAGAGTACCCTTGCTACAGATTTTAACTGATTGACATCTTTACAGCCTCTCTCACCTACCCAGTCACATCCACATCCCCACTTGCCACACCCACTGTTTCTCCATCCCACCCCTTCTACAATCACACTCCCCTCTTGCCCTCTCCCCCTTTTCTCTACTCAGACTGTATATTAACTGAACCCTCTCTCTTCTTCACAGCTCAAACCTTTGTTCCAAAATACCAGTGTTGGCCTACTATATTCTGGTTGCAGACTGACTTCACTCAGGTGAGACTGATAGAGTAGACCACCCAGGAAGACATTATGGAGTTTCTACATACACTTCTCTATGGCTAGATCTTCCTTTTGATCTCAACCTTTTTGCAGCCCCTGGGTGTAACATGAAGGGGCCTGCTTGTTCGTTGAGGTTTTCTGTCCTGCCGAGTACCCCACAGCTGGCAAGTCCCAAAGAAAATCACACAGAGATTTCTATAAGTTATAAAGCTGATTGGCCCATTAGGTCAGGCTTTTTATTAGTTCTTGTAATGTATATTAACCCATTATTCTGTTCTATGTTAGCCATGTGACTCAGTACCTTTTTCAGTGGGGCAGATCACATCCTGCTGCTTCGGTGATCTGGGCAGGAGTGGGAGGAATTAGCTTCCTCTTTCCCAGAATTCTCCTGCTCTCATTGAATCACCTGGGTTAGGCTAGATTTTATACTCTCTCGTTCTTAAATCTCTCGTGTAGTTTGTATTAGTTTCTGGCACAGAAACAAACAAACAAAACCAAAGTCAAAGAAAACAAAGCAAAACAAATCCCTGAAATAATCAACTTACAAAGAGAAAGGGCTTCTTGATAGTTTGGTTTTCGTTTGCTTGTTGTTCTTGTTGTTTTTGAAATAGCCAGGCTTGCAAAAATTTAGTGTATATCTATGCACGACCTTGAACTTGTTATTCTCTTGTCTTTCTTCACCTCTTGAATGCTGGGATTGCTGGTGTATACTACCAGGCCCATTGTATACTATGATAGAATAATGGTACTCAAAGTCTCATGCACACTAACTACATCAGCTCTCTACCAACTAAGCTACATCGCAAACCTAAGAGAAAAGTTTCATTTTCATCACAGTTTTAGAGTCATCTTTATCCACAATCAGATGGATTATTGCTTTTGATTCATGGAGTGTCAGCAGACCTAAATTAACCTTGTCCAGGAAAAAAATAAAACTGAGGAGGATGAACAAGCTGGAGTCCTACACTTTTCTTGAGAACACACCCCACAATAATCTAAAGACTTCAACAGTCCCCCCAGTAGCTCCCCCTAGGGATCATTCCTGGGCAGTGTGAATACCTGGGGGATGCTTAACATTTAAATGCAGAACAGTATTTCTTCATAACTTATTTGGTTGTTCTTTCCAAGGAAGCACAGTTATTCCTATGCCCTGAATTGAAGACCAGTCCTCCCCTATTTGTGAAAGTCATCATCTTTAAACATACAGCCTTGGGAGGGATGTACATGGGTGCTGATAGAGAAAGTGGATACCTGCTTAAGCAAACAAATCATCCAAATCAATCCTGGTGATAAATGAAGTAATAGTAATAGAGGGTTATATCCAGATGGTCCTCATATCCAAGCATAGTGTTTCTTGTGATTAATATTGCAAAACCACTAGAAATTATGAATGTAACTCTTTCATAAGGGACATACTCTATCCTTTACAAAAGATGTTCTACTGTTTTTATATAGATTCCAAGATTTATTCAACTGATCCTGATGGCTCACACACAAGCAATTAGCAGGTTTCAGACACGAGAGTATAGGAAAAAGAAATTGCAAAATTGTCATTATTATATGTGGCTGTTCTATGTTCAGTAAAATATTTAATAGCATTATATTAATCATGATTCTCCAGAGGAGAACCAGGTATCCATGGAAAGTCAGAATAGGGTACTGAAGCTATAGGCTGCTGTGATATGGCATGTGGGTACTGGAACCTCTAGAAGATCACTAAGTGCTCTTAACCACTGAGCCATCTCTCCAACCACTGTTGTTTTGTGTTTTAAAGATGTATTTGGCGGAGATCATGTACATATGTGTTTTATTGTCATACCTTTCCCTCATTTTCCCTGTCCAGATATTCCCCCAACATATATCTCACCCAATTTATAACCTCTATATCTTTTCTTTACTTTATTTCTCTATGTCCAAATAGTGATGTTCATATGTGCATGGATATGGGGCCATCCACTAGAGCATGAGCAACCTGATAGTAGCCATACCATTAAAGAAAATTGGATACTTCTCTAACCACCATCAACTACCATAGTGCCTCCGCTGATCATGGCTGCTTATGAGCTCCTCCCTGTCCACACTAGAGGTGTGACTGGCTTGCTCTTATGCAAATTTAAAAAAAAAAACCGATAACATCACTATGTCAATTTTGAGATGGGCAAATGAAAACAAGAGATAATATTGAAAAATTTGGAGATTAGAAAAATATAGGAATTAAGGAGAAGATGAGGGATTACATCTCATGCCTCGAGATAGGTATATAATGACCAGGAAATCAGAGGGAAAAAAAGCAATTAGAGAAAAGCTTAGAAAAGTGTAGTGAGAAGGCCACTTGTTTGTTCCTGGCTGCTCAGCCCCAAAATAACCACACCGAAACTGTATTAATTAAATCACTGGTTGATCAATAGCTTAAGCATATTTCTGGCTAACTCACATCTTAAATTAACCCATTTTCATTATTTTATATTTTATAAAAAGGGATGTCAGGGATGAGAGACGGCTGAGAGGACGGAACTGATGGGAGAAGAACCACTAAAACACACTTTGTTAGATAATTCTATAATGATATATAACCCTTTAGTTATTTATTATTTCTAAAATATTGAAAATGGTTCAGTGAGCTGACAGCACTTGATACTCTTCTTAAGGACCCACATTTGATTGCCAGCACTACTCAGGAAACTCACAAATTCTATCATGAACTTCTACAACTCATAAACATTTTCAGTAGTGTAGTTGGATACACAAGATTAACTTTAAAAAAATCAGTAGCCCTCCTGCACACAGATGATAAAAGAGCTGGGGAAGAAACTAGAGAAACATCACCCTTCACAATAGCCACAAAAAGCATAAAATATCTCAGAGTAACTCTAACCAAACAAGTGGAAGATTTGTATGACAAGAACTTTAAATCTTTGAAGAAAGAAATTAAAGAAGACACAAGAAAGTGGAAAGATCTCCCATGCTCTTGAGTAAGTAGAATTAACATAGTAAAAATGGCAATCTTACCAAATGTAATCTACAGATTCAATGCAATGCCTATTAAAACCCCCAAAAAATTGTTCACAAACCTTGAAAAATGGTACTCAACTTCAAATGAAAAGCAAAACACTCAAGATAGTAAAAACAATCCTGTACAATAAAAAACTTCTGGAAGCATCACAGTCCCTGACTTCAAACTCTACTACGGAGCTACAGTTCTGAAAACAGCCTGGTATTGGCATAAAAACAGACAAGAGGACCAATGGAACTGAATTTCAGGTCCAAATGGATCAAAGACTTCAACTAAAGCCAGCCACACTGAACCTTATAGAAAAGAAAGTAGGAAGTACACTTGAATGCATTGGCACAGGAGACCACTTCCTAAATATAACCCCAACAGCAAATACATTAAGAGAAACAATTAATAAATGGGACCCCTTGAAACTGAAAAGCAAAGGACATGGTCAATAAGACAAAACAACAGCCTACAGAATGGGAAAAGATCTTCACTAACCCTACATAAGACAGAGGTCTGATCTCCAAAATATACAAAGAACTCAAGAAATTGGTCATCTAAAGAACACATAATCCAATTAAAAAATGGAGTATAGACCTAAACAGAGAACTCTCAATAGAGGAAGCTAAAATGGCTGAAAAACACTTAAGGAAATGCCCAACATCCTTAGCCATCAGAGATATCAAAACAACTCTGAGATTCCATCTTACACCTGTAAGAATCGCCAAGATCAAAAACACTGATGACAACTTATGCTGGAGAGGTTTTGAGAAAAAGGAACACTCTTGAATTGCTGTTGGGAGTGCAAGCTGGTACAACCCTTTTGGATGTCAGTGCGGCAATTTCTCAGAAAATTAGGAAACAACCTTCCTCAAGACCCAGTAATACCACTTTGGGGTATATATCCAAAGGATGCTCAATCGCACCACAAAGACATGAGCTCAACTAAGTTCATAGCAGCATTGTTTGTCATAGCCAGAACTTGGAAACAACCTAAATGCCCTTTGACTAAAGAATGGATAAGGAAAATGTGGTACATTTACACAATGGAGTACTACACAGCAGAAAAAAATAACGACATCTGAAATTTTGCAGGGAAATGGATGGAGCTAGAAAACATCATTTTGAGGGAGGTAACCCAGATACAGAAAGAATTATCACATGTACTCACTCTTAAGTGGTTTTTAAACATAAAGCAAAGAAAACTAGCCCACAAATCACTATCCGAGAGAACCTAGACAACAATGAGGACCCCAAGAGAGACATACATAGATCTAATCTACATGGGAAGTAGAAAAATACAAGATCTCCTGAGTAAATTAGGAGTATGGGGACCTTGGGAGAGAGTTGAAGGGGAGGGGAGAGATAGAGACGGGAGCAGGGAAAAATGTAGATATTCTCTCTTTCCCAGCAGCTATAGACTGCTGATAGTTCCACAGCAAAGGGTAAGCCCCTGATATACAATAGAAGTTTTGCTTACTTGATTCTTCTTTTATGCAAGTAAACATAGCTGCAGTGAGTTCATAAGTCTAGTAGCCACATCATATCCAGAAGACAGTATTTTACAGTACTCATCCCCAACTTCTAGTTGTTACTTTCTTTCTGCCTCTGCTTCTTCGATGTTTCCCAAGACTTGATTTAAGAAGGGGTTACTGAAGGTGTCTGATTAGAACTAAATACTCGGTCTCTTGTTCTTCACTAAGCCTGGACTCCCGTTTCCATACCAGACCTCTTCTTCCCGACGGCCTCTTTGTGTGTCACTCCAACCATTCTCAAGACCATTTATGATTATCACTTGTACTCTGTCTCCGTAGTCCCAGGAAGAATGGAGAAGCCACTGGGGTGGACACAGTTTGCGCCTATCACCCTGATCACACAGGTCATGGCCTGGCTAGAGAGCAACTGTACTTGGAGCTGAGCAAGCTAACCTCTGGTGTCACTCAGCTGGGCCCCTACACTCTGGAATGGGACAGTCTCTATGTTAATGGTGAGACATGAGTATTGCTCATTTTCCTTTTTCTGTAACAAAACACCTAAGAATGACAAAGTCAGGAAAAGAAGGTTAACTTTGGCTCAGCGTTTGAGAAAAGATCTAGTGCTCCATGGTACAAAGAACATGGGCAGGAAGACAAGAATGCTGGTCTTCGCGTTACTTTCTCATTTTTAACCACTTCAGGGCCTAAGGCCATGGCATGGTACTACCAATATTTAGTGAGCATCTTCCATGCTCAGTTAAACTCCTCTGGAAATGTCTTTACAGACATGCCCAGGTGTATCTCAGAGATTATTTCAAATCCCATCAAACTGACAGGCAAGCTTACGCATTTCAGGCTGTTTACCTTTACTGCTGCTGAGAAGCCACATCCACTTCTTATCTTCTTTCTGCCTGACCCTAGACTTTTTCCTCCATCTGTGCAGCTTATGCCCACCAGATCTTAGTCACTACCTCTAGCAGCAAGTATGGTGAGGTTTCAGATGTCTGTAAAGTTTGAAATTTTCTGCCATATACAACCTAGACATTAGAAATGAAGGAGTTCACAAACCTACTGTCTCTATACCGTACCTTCACCCTATCTCCAGTCTTGAGTGGGCAGAGATCTCTTTCCCTGCTATTGTTCCAGATATAAGCACTTCTTCTCTGGAAAATACAGAAAAATGGAGTTTCCAGACAATCATTTAGGGTATTTTCTCCCTAGTTTTTACAATAGGACCTCCCACTTCAACATAAAAGGTCTTGTTTGAATGTGGGTTCCTTCTGCCTGCCTGGGTGAGTTTGGTGGCTAAAGGTATGTTACAAACACAGTCTGAAGTAAAATGTGAAATAAAATCTTTCTAAAGACAGAATTAGAAACTCTAGTAATTTTAAGAGAGCTTGATTCATCTCAAAAGTTGCCTTCATATTGACAATCTCTCTCTTCCCCTATCACCTTTCCATGTCTCTATAGGTTACACCAATCCAACCTCAGGTACGATCCTGAACAGTGAGTATTACAGACATCTACATGTCCCTGTCTGCCTTGTATCTCCTGAAATATGAAAATATGGTTAAGCCAGGGCTGGAGAGAAGGCTGAGTAGTTAAGAGCACTGACTGCTCTTCCAGAGGTCCTGAGTTCAATTCCCAGCACCCACATGGTAGCTCATACCCATCTTTAATGAGATCTGGTACCCTCTTCTGGCATGTAGGCATACATGCACAGAAACACTGTATACATAACAAATAAATAAATCCTTTAAAAAAAGAAAATATGGATAAGCCAACCTTTTTTCTACTATACAGTTTAATTGGTCAGGATTTCAAAAAGGTTCATGGAAATATAGACTAAAATAAGGATAGTAAAGGTCACCCACCCTTTCGCAAAGCACACAACCCAAGGGTGATAACAAATATAAAATAATAGATGCCATGAAACAAAACACAGATTCTTGGAAATTGTCATCCAGGTTGCAGCTCTTCCTTAAAGATGTATCACAATTTGTATTTCATTCCTCATCTTAGGTTTTGTTTTGTTTTGTTTTTGTTTTGTCTCAGCACCTGTGACTACCACATCCTTCCCAGCTTCCTCTCTGGCTCCATTCTCTACAACTAATTCCACAGGTAGGGAAGGATACATGTTCTTATTGGTACCAAAAAGGCAAACAAACCATTTCTTTTTTCAAGGTCCATCTATTTTGCAGTGAAGACTTTGTTTTTCATTCTGCAAACTAGTTACTCAGAGTCCAAATTCTGATCCCAGTCAGTACCACAAAGGAGTTCCTGAACATTGGTCTATGTACTTCCTAGATATCACTGAGGTCTCTTTGACCACCAATTTACTTTTCAACTGTTACTATGATAAAAATATTCTAATCAAAGCAACTCAAGGAAAGAATGAAGTACTTATTTTTAACCTTTTAAGGTACAGTCCATCACCGATTTAAAACAGCAGGAGCTTGAAACCTTTGGTCACATCACATTCACAACCAGAAAACAGAATCCAGGAGTACACGTTAGTGCTCCAGTGCCTTTCTCCATTTATACATGATAGGATGTCCCATCCAGGGAAAGATCCTGGATATAGTTAAAATGTGTTTTCCCATATCAATTTATATGGACAAGAAGGCCCTTCACAAGTATGCTAAGCTTATTTCCCAAGTGATGCTAGAGTCTATCAAATTGACCATCAACAGTAACCATCACAATCACTCATGCTGAAGATATAATTGTCCTCCAAATATAACCGTTCTTCTTATAATTACCAAAGGCACAGGTAGAGTGCCAACCTTCACCCCTCTTCTTGCTCACCTCCAGCTGTCACTGAATCTCATCTCTTGGCAATTTGGGGACACTCTCAAACCTTTTCTTTCTCTGTATCTATATAATTTAGAGTTTATTGAGGCTAGCGTGTTTTTCCTAGAAAGATGTAGCAGCCCCTATTCTGGCTTCCTAATGTCTCCCAAGTAGCAACTACGACATTCTTTATGATGTGATTGTATCTATAGAATTCCTTTCTTCTAAACAACATTCAAGGGGTTCTATTTGTTCTATGAGTCACATCGAAGGCTTTGTATTATTTAACCATTACCTCTCTGGAGTAAGCTCAGAGGTTCCTAAAAATCTCACACCTATACATCCCTCTGGCAATAGTGAAGTAATTTTAAGTTTCTTTAACTCACTATGTACTCTTCTGGAGTGTTCTCCTTATTGCTTAGATTCTAGCAACTTTTTGCTATGCTTTTTGTCATCCCTGAAATAATGCTTTCTACAAAGCTTTTTAGAGTCATTAGTTGGGTCACTAATTTTCCTATCTGCCCTTCTACTAACTTCTCCTAAATTATAATAGTTTGATAACTTCCCTAGAATATACTTTAGGTGATGATTCCCTATTCATCTTTGGATCTAAGGAGTTTGTCACAGAATTTTTTGCACATTAATTATCCCTGGATGCAAGAAGAAAGGTTCCAATTCTAATGTTTTAACAGGTCTAGAATGCCCCTTGCTTCAAAACTTGTTAATCCAACAATGTTACATAGAATTAGAAGCAGCCTTGGTCATTACCAGTTCTAAATCTAAACATCTGTATTTCCCCGCTGCTATAGGCATCAGCACTATCATGGTACCCGTCACTCTCAACTTCACCATCACCAACTTACACTACACAGAGGAGATGGGACATCCAGGTTCCTTGAAGTTCAATTCCACCAAGTGGATCTTACATTATTTGGTGAGTCCTTCCAAGAATCCCACTATCCCTACCTAACAACTCTCTGGCAAGGTCCCATCTATATTTTTTCTAACTCTTTATTTATTTTTTTCCATCAGCTTGACACCTTGCTCAATAAGACCATCATTGCCACACACTACTCTGGATGCAGACTGGCTTCACTCAGGTGAGATCTCTAGAGAGAGAGTGTCCAGAAGCAGCCAGCAGAGACCATGTGCTTCTATCATCATGTTTTAGCATCCACTCTGACTCTCTAACACATTCTTCCTAGCCAGAGTAGGAATAAAGTATATATTGAGCAATTAGTAACTTTAGTAATAATAATAAATAATAGGAATTGTTTAGCATAGAAAATTCAAGTGACATTCTACTTAAAATGAGGGTTCTCTTAGAAGAACTGGATTTCCCATATTCAGCATAAGCAAAAAATTTTAGGAAGGGTTAAAGAGATGGGTCATTTGGTAAAGTGCTTCCCATAGAAGCATAAAAGTGACCTCAACCCCCAAAGTCCACACAAATAAGCTAGGTGTGGTGGCAAACATCTGTAAACCCAGCACTGGTAACAAGAGAAACCCTGATTCAACAATGTGAAAGAACTAACTCCTGGAAGAGGCAGGCAGAGGACCAGAGCTCCCTGGTCAGCCAGCATATCCTAACTGGAAATCAACAGGTCCCAATGAATGACCCTATCTCAAAACAATAAAAAAGAAAATAAAGAATAATGCAGGATGCAGGGCTGGCAAAATGGCTTAGTGGGCAAAAGCATTTGCAATGCAAGCTTGATGATGAGTCTGATTCCCAGAACCAACACACAATGCTGGATTTAGTGGCATGCATCAGTAATCCTAATACTCCTGCAATGAGGTGGGAGGCAGACACAGAGGAATGGCTCAACCACCTGGCCTGAGTATGTGGTACAGCAGAAAATGGAGAGACCCTGATTCAGCAATGTAAGAAAGCAGACTCCTGGAAGCTGTCCACGTATTCAAGGTTGCTTATCTGAGTCTAATCACACACACACACACACACACACACACACACACACACACACACACACA